TTATCTTCCAAACTAGAACATAAGCTCCCCAATTCAGGAGCATATCTAAAAGGTATCTTCTGGTTCTGCCACCAAGCGTGGGTGAGTGCTTCATACAAAGAGTAACTAGCCATTTATTTAGAACTTATTTCTAAGTTAATAGAGCTCTCCCAGCTATTCTAGTTTAAGTTGTATAGACACCTTTCCCCAAACACAAATACTGATTATATTTTTATGTGATAGCCTATTATTGCATATTAAATTTGCTTTCGAAGTGGGGGGGATTCTTTGAATCATTTGACTTTCACCACTTTATACAGTGTAATTCTTCAAGAATCAAAGCTTTAATTTCCTTGAAGCATAAGGCTATTCCAAGTATATAATGAGGCAAGAACCTCTTTTATTACTTTTCCAGTATTCTGTATGTTCAGAATGTCTCTGTCAGGTACCAGTACAAAACAGTTCCTGCCCATTGCCCCGAGGAGATTGGGAGGAAAATGCCAAAAGGGATATTTCAGGAATCCAGTTCTTTCCCTGATGAAGAGAGAGACATGCAATTCTTTTTTGAAGAAATCCTGGTTGATTGTCATTTAGTTCTCTCAAAAGGTTCGAATATTTACTTTCTATAATGAACATATGTTGCAGTGATGAAGCAAACCGTAAAAAATCTGAAAGTGGGACTAGCCCAAATGCCTCAAAGCATATATGAATGTATGAACCACTATTATTGATTTAAAATACACACACTCTCACACATATATAGTTAACCAGCACTAGGTCCTAAATTTTATGAAAGGTATGAGCTTTTGAGTCATGACCAACTAACAAAGTCAAATCAGTAAATGAATAAAGAACATTTCTATGGCTAACAGTGACTCAATACTAGCCATAATTTCATGGCAACATATAAGCTGAATCACACAGAAATGAGTAGCTTGAACTGATGTCGTATTTGGTCTAGCCATAAATTCCTCTTGAATGAAACAGGAGTTCACATAAAAGACCCAATTCTAAGATTGCCCCTTTCCCTTATTATATACATACATACACACACAGACATACATGAACACAAACCTATATATTCACTCAATACTCACTTGGACATTTGTAATTCAGACATTATGAATAATTCCTACCCAATTAAAAAAATTGGTCATGTCAACCTAAATATTACACAGAATTATTTACAGTGCTTGCTTTTATTTTCCTTCAGTAACATCTATAAGTAACTAGTTCATATAAGGTAGCCACCCATCACTGTTACTATACAATTTAAAAACATGATGTAGCTTTGCCATGCCAACTTCTAGGTATTCACTTTAACAATATGACAAAAGGAGAAAAATTAAAAGCACAGAATTGTTTTCAAATTGCCATTTATGAGCTGCTGAAACACACATTGTGACTGTCTGATGGATAGATTTTGTTTTGGTCATTAATTATCAGCAGTAGCATGTGATGTTTAGATTTACAGTGTTACAAAAAGAATATACCTATAAATGACAAAATATGTTTTCACATAATCTGTTTAAAGTCCTTTCTTTTAACTGGGGAGATTGTTGGAATCACCAGGTTCTCTTTTTGCACAGTAAAAATGTAATCAAAATATGTAACTATGAGAATGATACAGCAGTAGTACCTTCTCCCTCTGCTTCTTCCCAATTGTTCTTCTGCACTTTAATACCTTTTTTTTCAGCCTCAACCACATAGACTGTCTGATGTCCAGATTTACCAACTAACACCCAATCTCTCTCCTTCATACCCTTTATGAGGTTAATACCTAAATGTCCATTTTGCTCATGTTGACTATTTGATAGGTGTCCAAAAGGAGACGGACAGACCTCTTTCAACTCAAATAGAAATAATCCTGGGTAAAGAAGTACACTTGACAGTTATCAGGATACTAGGATTTGATTTTTCATTCTACGGTATTTTCTGGCTAGTGTCGCATATTAAAAAGATAAGTTCTTGAATCAGAACACCTTATGCTTCAGTTCCCATTCTTCCTCCGATCTACATAGAGCTGTAGGCAAATTATAAAACCTCTGAGTCTCAGTTTTCTCTTCTAAAATGAGGATGGTAATGCTAACATTGTTAGTTTTAGGAGAATTTAAGAAGATCTGAGAATAGAAAAAGGAATTTAGATTAAAAACTAAGGAAATTTGAATAAGCTATATATTCTAGTTCATTACACTGTATCATCACTGTATAAATGCATCAATGCATTTGATCCACTTGTAATAGATGTACCATACTACTATAAAATATTAACAGGAAAACCAGGTGTAGGGTGTATGGGAAGTCTTTTATTTTCTCAATTTTTCGGTGAATCTGAAACTCCTATAAAAAATAAAGTCCATTTTTTAAAAAATGATCTAAAATGCCCTGCATATGATAGGTACTTGAAAAACAGTACCAATGTTATGATATAGATTATTTGGTTTTCATAAAGTGAGTTATTCTCTGTACAATATGATTTTTCCCCAGCTCTGAGATATAACTGACACATAACAGCATAAATTTAAAGTGTATGACATGATAATTTGACAGTATGCTATTTTTTTCCCCAATTCAGCAATTCTTTTCAGAGGCAGCTTGCTCTCTTTCCATGTCACTTGATTCCCTTTCTCTAGATCATTTTCCTCTAGCTGTTTCTGGTTCATCCATTTGTATTGCACTACAAACTCAAGTTTCGTCTACAACTAGTTTATATTTCTGCAAGACTAATTTTAGTTCATCAATCTTATCTGTTGGCTTTAAATTTTACCACAAGGATTATACAAATTTAAAAGTTAATTTCAATGGTCACTCATTAAAAAAAAAAAATCCAAGGTTTTCCTCTTGGAGAAAAATAGCAAAACATCCTTTTCCAGAAAGATACAAAAACATTAAAGATACAGCAATGGAAAAGCTTGTTTCTTCTGTAATAGGAGATACTCAGCTTTCCAATATAGCCAACATCCCTGAGGTAGCTTTGCTGGGATATGTATTTAGCACTCGTTTGCTGCAATACCTAAAAATAGTTTGACCAAATGCCAGTGTTATCAATCTGTCCTGCAATCTCTCTAACGTTAAGGTCATGTGTAAAAGCAGAGCAGAACCTACTCGTCCCTCAAAACCACAGCTTTGAAGGGTTCATGTGAAACACAATCTGATCAGAAAAACTTAGCACCATGATAATCCTTCTCATGTAAGCTGACAGTTCTGTTTAGAAGAACTGGAACTCTATGAGAATGGATTTCTTCCCCATCCTAATGCTTGATACAAGGTCTAGTTAAAGGACAGACATCTAGAGCCTTTAGACTAATAAACAGAAAAATGTTTTTTATTTTTTATTTAAATCCCAACAATTTTCATTGCCAAAGGAATAGGAGTTCGTTGGTGCTGTCATTAATAGGACAGACTGCATTTCCCCTGCTACACACATTTTTAATAATAATTCCAATTTGAAACTTGAAATATTGGGTCCTGTGTGTAGACCCAATACCTCACCTTAAAAAAATAGCCAGAAAACTTTAATGGTTCTGAAAATACTTTTACTCAACTGTAGTCCAAGATACAGGTTGAAAAGGCAAGGGGCCATGGACAGGGTCAGAGTGTAGTGAGCAACCCACCTACTTTGTCTCAACCAGGAAATTAGTTTTATTTTTAATAAAATTGATACCCGGGCTTGTTAGAGCTAAAATAAATCATCAGCACTGGGTGGTGTGTGTACATATATAAGCAAAACAAACAGAGAAATCTGTGTTAAGATAAGGGTGGATAAACATAGGAAAATCTAGCACTCTACTCCATCAACAGTAATTCAGTCCTAAAAAGGTAGTAGCCTGAGAAATTCATTTTATTTAAGAAACTGATCTCACAACCTCAACGGAGTTAGATCTTGCCTCTGACACCGTGGCTGGGGGCTTCACTGGCCTTCTGACAGCTCAAAGGCTGCAAATTCATTTAAAAGAGGCCAAACAGAACGCTTCGCAAACTCACTACAACTTGGTACCTGACACCTTTTCTGTCCTGCGCTCCTGTCCCTCATCTGTCAGTAACCATTCCCCTCTTTCTCTGGCTGGAGAACATCAGATACAGGCGTTTTTTCACATTAAAAGCAGCCCCGGGCCCCCCCACCCCACGCCTCCCCCAAGCCTTGCCCCTGCCTCAGACACAAAAAGCTTTTGATGCTTATAATCGCGAGGCTTTTTGCAGCTGCACTTTATCAAGGCAGCAGTGGCGAGACATGTAAGGCCTCGGAAACAAGAAGGAGGCGGCGAAGTCACCTTGGAAAGAACAGAAGAGGGTCAAAGGAAGGGAGAGGGACTGACCCGGGCGGAAGGACCAGAGGGCCTGGCCCGGCTCTGGGGTCAGTAAGAAAGGCAAGACGAACTGGAGGGAACCCCGGCTAGAGGAAAGCAGTGCCAGGGGAACCTTAGGCGCCCCGCGTTGGTCATCAGCTGACTTGGGCGCGGGGAGGAGGGTGCCTTTCCCAGTGTGACTGGCAGCTTCGCCTTCCGGACTTGCTTTCCCCTGCCTGCCCCTTGCGGTTGCTCTCCGCCCGGGCCAGCCCAGTGCTGCTCGGAGGCGCTCTTCGGGCTCCACAGCGGCGCCCCCACCGGCCGGTTGCCCCCGCCCGCGGAGCGCACGCCCAGGAGGGCGGGCCTGGAGCTAAGCGCAGCCGCCCGCCGCTGGAGAGTGTCGGGAACCCTGCAAACTAGCAAGGCCTCTCTGGATACCGCGGGCTGCAAGTCACTCCCCGATCCTCCCCCGCCACAAAGCGGGTCCAGACTGCCTCGCTTCCTGGCGCTCCCGAGTGTGAGCACGCGGGCAGCCAGTTCCGGGCAGCTCCATGCGCGTTCGGGGCTGCGCTGGGTCGGGCCCAGCCGCGCAGAGGGGGCTTCCTAGCCCCTTCCCCAGGGCGCGGTCTCCTCCTACTGATGCTCCTCGCCAGCTGCGCCGCCAGCTCCCATTGTTCACCCCGCCCGCCTGGCGACGTCCGGGCTCTGCTCCCTGGGCCTCCCAGGCGCACCTACCTTCTGCTGCCGGCGAGCCATGTCGGTGGGCTGCTTGGCGTTGAAGGGATAGGCGATGCAGCGCATCACGAACACATACAGCTGCAGCCTCTTCTTCCTCTCCTCCTCCTCCTTCTGCAGCCGCTCCAGCTCCTCCTTCTCCTTCTCGCTCACCACCGACGGGCTGGGGCTGGAGGGCCGGCCACCACCCGTGCGGCTGCTGGGCTGCAGCCCCCCGGCCCCGCCGCTGCCGCTCGCGCCGCTGCCCCCACCGCCGCCGGCGCCCACTCCGGCCCCGGCGCCGGCCCCGCCGCCGCCCGCAAGCCCGGCGCCGCCGCCGCTAGAGCCCTCGCTGGTGCGGCTGGGTGATAGGCGCGCGCCGGACGCGGCCGAGCCGAGCACCTCCTTGCCGCTTTCTTCCTCCACAATCTCATCCGATTCCTCTTCGCTGGACGAAGGGTCCAGCATGGTGGCGCCTGGGGAGAGGGGTCCCTGGAGCACCGGGCTTGGGGTGCAAAAGATGGGGGGCGCTGGAGGCAGCTGGAGGTCGGCTCTCCGGGATGGGCGCTTCTTCCCAAATTAGGCAGCGGGAGCGCTGCTGCTCAACCTCGGCCGCCCGCCGCGACTGCTTTCTCCGCCCGACGACCTGGAGCTGGGCTCCGACACAGGAGCTCGAAGGGAGGAGGGGAAGGGAGAGGAGCGTCCGTGGACCCGAGGTTGGCAAGGGGAAGAATCAGTTGCGAGCCTCGAGCCCGCAGCCGGATGCCTTCTGCAGCCGCTGAAGAAGGCGCCTCCAGAAAAGATGCCGAGTGTTGCAAGCGGTGGATGCAGCCAAGAGCCGAAGAGGCATCTTGCCGATTGGGGAGGGAGCGGCGCTTACGTGTTTATTGGCTTAACTCTCCCGTGTCCGCGGCGTAAAGGGTGGCTGCGGAGGGCTAGGGTGGGGAGAGCGCGGAGCGCCCCCGACGTCTCTGAGCTTCAGTTCTGACCGTAACGCATTCGCACCCTACTCACCCCCTCCCCTTTGTGGATAATTTTCTACTTGATATCCAGCTCTCATTGCTTCCACCTGTCTCCCCCTCCCGCGGACAAAAAGTTCTTGGGGGAGGAAGAAATGGGCAAACCAGTGCTGACTTCTTAGCGAAGAGTGGGCTGTCTGTTTAGCGACGCCAAATCCAGAAGTCTCACTAAAAGGAAGCCTGCGAGATCCCTTACAGGAAAGAATCTACCTCATTTCTCCAGGCTTCTTTACATCTGGGGCGTGGGGACAGTAGCTAGCTGGGCAGTGTGTTTTCCCACCAATGTAAACTCTGATTCCAGCCAGCTCTCATCAACATAAAAATCACCTTTTGAGCGGAGTGGTGTCCTGACCACGCAGCTCAGCTATTTAAGTCGAACCCTCGCCCTTGCCTTCCCCGGGAAAGCTATGATGAGCATTCTTTAATTCCAACAACTGGGAACACTTTCTGATAATGTGAGCCTATCAGAGAAATAGAAGGGTTTCTGGTTGTTCAGACCTTTCTCCTTTGTGGTTTGCTGTAAAACCTGGGTGGAGGAATGGGGACCCCGAGATTAGACAGACACCACTCAAAATCAGCGGCATCAACATCTAATGCACAGTCACACTGTCTTCATCCCAGTTTCTGGTTATCTATTTATTCAAAGCGGCAGATGGTGCCTTCCTCCTCCCCCCAGCTCCTTTTACTTAGGCCAATAAATCCGGTTGACGGGGAGCTGGCCAGCGTGCTGAATCTAATCAGCGACCCGCAGATGAATGGAAAACAAACCAATACCCTCCACCCTGAGATCTTAGGATATCTAGAGAGCAAGCACTCTTCACCTCTCCTAAACTCATCTCCTATATTTACATGTTTCCTGATGCTCTAGTTATTCGTAGATGCTCGTGGGAGTTACAGTAAAAGTGTCTTAATGTATTTTCAAATTTACCATGAGTTCTGTAGGCTTTGATATTCAAGAGAAGCTTTCCTAGACAATCTGTTTGAGAAGTTAAACATGAACTCAAAACAATGTCTAGCTTACATTAACTCTAACAATCCTGTTCAATGTTTTGAATTAAGCAATATATGTATGACTTACATTTTACTTCATCACCATACTCATCATCTCAAGGACAACTTCTATGGCCATCACAAATTCTGTATCAATTTAAAATAAGCCAGCAATGTGGAAAGTGTTACAGTTTGGCAGTCCTCACTCTTTATTTCTTCTGAAGAAGTAAAAGATGTTCAAATCATGTTGTTCTGGTTTCCCTAGAACAGAAAGAAGAGGTAGTAGGCCAATCAACCAATAAATCAACTTTTATTAAGCACCATTTTATGGCGTGAATATTGTTCTAGCTGCTTAGGTGCTCTAGGTGCTAGGTGGATAGAATGTTCATATGACATTCTCTTAAGGAGTCTATAATCTCCTTTGGGAGATGAAACATAAACATGTGAAAAAAATCGACAGTACTTTTTTCAAGGCAACATATCAACAAATACAGGTTAGCAAACTGCTAAAAGCTTGCATGAATGAAACAACTGGGAATGGAATAGAATTATATATTTCTCAAAGAAAAGAATTAAATTTTAAAGGAAGGCACCATATTAACAGATGTTGAAAAGGGAAGATATTAAAAATGCAAAAGTGATTTGCAAAGAAATAGTAATAGGACAATGGACCAAGTAAGGCAAAAAGTGTTATGGAGATGGGGTGTCAGTAGGTAAGGGGGAAGTAAGGGGAAAAAAAGCTATAAAAGTAATCTATTTGGCCAAATAGAGAGATCGTGGTGTTTAGGACACAAAGAAGTGAACTGTTAGCTAGACACCACGTGGTGATTTGAGGAGGGAGTGCTTTTGAAGGTCAGACAAAAGCCATGTACTAATTAAGTATTTCTTCTTTAAGCAAGCTTAGGTATTTGCATATTACCACATTTGACACTAGGAGCAGAATGACCATTAATTCTGTTTTCAGAACCTTTTGGGACTTCTCAATCACTATAATAAATTTTGTTTATTTTTGGTTAAAATTTGTTCTTACAAATTTCTTTGGAGTTATGTAGGTGGGTTTTTTCTAATTATACTCATCAAAACATAATCTTAGGACCTACTTTTTGTTAATCATATAAACCTATGATTTGGGTATTAAATACACCATTGCTTAGATAAATCTAACAGTCCTCTCAATCCTCCTCCCCCACCACCTCATGAGTGTTCAAAGAGACAAACAGATTTTCATGGAAACCCTTTTATAATTTTTATTTCAAATGCTGTGCATTGGTGTCTTTTAAAATGTACATCCTTTCAAAGATATCTTATCCCTTAGCTAAACATCAATTCAATGTCCTTGGAGATATATAACTCTTTGTTAGAACTGAAGGTAAGATATGCCAACCAGAATGCTTTAGGCATTTAAACCAGAAGTTGTGGCTTTTGTAGATGCAAATTTTGGTGAACAAGAAAGAAAATAATCCCAGAACACATCCAAAGGTTAACATTTGTCTACCTTTTGTTAACATCCATGTTCTTCTTTTTAAAAATATAATTCTAACATATATTTCGATATACATAAGTATTTATATCCTCAAGCAAGCTATTTTAGGTGATTGCATGTTTGCCCCCCACCTCCACTTCTGCTTTGTAGGAAACTCGAATAACCTCAAGGTGATGGAATAAATTTTAGTCAGCCATCTGGAGACCATATCATGCAAGTAGAAGTTATAACATTGAATTTTTAAATTCCGCCCACTAAAGTCTAGAGGAAATGGAAATGACTGAGACACTAAACCAAGGTTTTCTTATCTAGATCTACAGTATCTCCATTCTTCTCTGAAGTGTTTGCTGTGATTGTATAAAAGGTCATGAGAAAGAGGGAATATCTGACCCCTTGGCAATTGATAGACACTTTAGTGAAAAACAATCACTTCTTTATGTCACTCATATAAATAAAACTGAGTTGAATGCCCATTTTAATGTTTTTATGTGTTCGTTACTAGAAGATAGTTAGGTAAGTTAATTTTTTAAAAAATCTCACAATCTATTTCAAATTATCTACATCTGATGACCTCATCCAAACAATATTTTTCTTTTTTTTAACAATAGCTTAGAAGAACCAAAAAAGATAAATTTGAAATTTATTGTATACCTATGTCAAGTTAAATGTTTGAGCTTCAAACACAAGCAGTTCTGCTTCTGCCCCTTAATAGCAGTTATTTTGAAAAAATTATTTTAGTTCAGACTCTGTTTCCCCATTTGTAAAATGAGGAATAGTAGTACTCACCTCCTTTGGAATGATGTGAAAACTAAGGTAGATATTATGTTAAAGGTATTTTTCAACAGATTTTTAGGTTTAAACACCTTTTCCAACTGGCTACAGAGGGACTTGTAATAAATGAGAAGGTCTCGTAAGTGAGAAATTGGCCACAAATAATTGGAAGGAAAAATGACATAAAAAAAGAGTCCAGAAACAGATCCTTGAATAATAGAATATTTGCTCATTTATTTAACTGATTTTTGTCTTGTTTTACATAGTCTTTTCAGGGACTTAGAAAATGGTTTATTTTGTTTGAGAAACCTACTGTTCACCATTACTCTATATTATATGATAATTCTTGCTAAAGTGAAATGAAATGGTTTAGTATAGAATTAAAAGATAATCATAAGATTAAAAATAATAAAATTGAGCTACACAAAAACATCTTCTTTCACCTCAGGCAACAAAACATGTTTAGAATAATAAACAATACTACTCACAGGAACTGGTTGTGGAAAACCACTTTATTAAAATGAGAAAGGAAAATGAAACAACATATTTCATAATAAATATTTAACTTGAATAACTGAAAATCAAGTATTCACAAGTGTAATCACAGTTCTTGCATATACAACTTCTTTTAATAGAAGTGGGGGCCAGATATGGTATATATTGAAAAGCAGTTTATGCTGGTGTCTACATGGACAAAGTAGGGGAATGAGTCTTTTGCACTCATTCTGGGATATGGTGACATGCCAGCAAATAAAAGAAAAAAATGTACTTACATAGTTGTTTCCATATAATATTAGGTAGACGATTTGCCTAATTAGCCCAGTTGTACAATTTGGCTTACCTTGGTGAATGCTGCTACCATTATGTCTTCATCTTCTCTAAAGAATTTTATGGGTTTATTGTCTGGGTTATGTTTAGTTGTTTTCACAAACTACACTGGCTTTAGACTGGGAGGCTTTCTGTAGATTGTAAATAAGAATGGCTGAACTTGAGGTATTTTCATATTAACAAGTTAGTTTTCAACTTAAACAACTGAAACTGTCAAGTTCCTTCAATTTAGGCTACCCTAAAACGTGGGTCTGTTGGATATCTAATATTTTGGAAGAAGAAGGTGAGCAGGAAAATGAAGTTGAGAGGGGCTTGATGAATGAAGGGAAAGTAAGGGAGAACGTAAGGACGGGTCCTGATCAAGGGGTAGATACCACCTGGGTCAGGGGTCAGTGGAGGTAAACACACTGGGGGAAATGCTCTAAACCAGGTCTAGTCACCTACATGCCAAACCAAACCAGCATAAGGGAAGTTGATAGATTAAGGCCTGAGCTCGGCTCAAAAGAGTGTCATTTCTCTTCTTCTTCTCATGGTGACACTGACTCTTCTTCCATAGAAAAGTCCACTATTCCAGCCCATTGTCTGTAAGAATATCATTACTCTTCTCACATTTCTTTCATTATTCAGAACCTTCTACTCAGTCTGTTTCCAAAAGATTTGGGGAGATGTGGACATGCTGCTATTTTTCAGTTGTTAGTTATACCTAACAATTTACCCTGAGAGAAATGGACTGCTGTAAGAATACAAGGTTGCATTATGATGTTATTTGTATATTCCAACCAGGTAGTGAGTGTAAAAATCCTGGTTTTTCATTGTCCTCCATCCTGTGTAGCTCTTGGGAGAGACATACAAGGAACAAATAAAAGTCTCCATGCCATTATGATGGTAATGGGTCCAGGGCTCAGTATTTCCCCACCTAAACATGGAACTCTGATAATGTGCCAGTGAAATATAAATTTAAGTCTTTATATCTAAGCAGAATCTCTGCCTTCATTGTCAGTATTCATGTTTTGATGTTGTATCACTTTCTGGCCAGTTGCAAAGTATAGGAAACATTCATAAATAACAATTAGTACAATTAGGCATGCCTGCAAAAAGAGGAATAGAAGGACCTGCCTCAAGACTGCAGGCCTTGAATCCATTCACCTGTCACATGGAAGAAGAAAATAGAATAGATAAATGTGGGCACCACAGCTTTTCAATGCACAGTGACATGCCCACTCATAAACATGCTTCAGCTGGCATATATCACCTGACAAATCTGATTAATATGCTCTTTTCTTGAGGAAGAAATAGAAGGTTACAAAACAGGCTGGCAGAGAGCCAGCTTGCCTTTCTCCCTGTAAGATCAAATTCCAAGCTACCACCTCTCACCAAGTGGCTCAGGCTCTCAAATCCCTGATTGTCCTACAACCAAGAATCTGGACGAATCCCTGTAGTTGTTCCTTAAGAGTACGACTTGCTCCTTCAGTTGTATTTATTTGGAATTCTGAAACTTTTCTTAGCAATATCTTTGAAGGATGTAATGAGCTAATGCATGTGTCTGTTTAGAATGAAGTCCAGTCCATAGTAAGCTTCTGATAAATGCTAGTGGAAATGGTTGCTAACTATTATGAAACTTTTATTCCAAATAACAAGGCTAGGCCTAGGCCCTGTTTTTGAAAAGGGTAGGGGGACATAGTTTACTAAGGCCAGGGAGAAACCTCTAGACCCTTAAGAGAAAGGTAACTTTGCCCTGGAAACCTGCAGTAGGCTATGATGTCAACACCACAATGACAAAACAGGTCTCGGAGGAAGGGGATGTAGTGTTCTTCTAGTACAGACTTAATACCTCCCCCTTCTTCACCCACTCTGATATGCTGGTCTACCTATATATTTTTAGAAGGTATATCAACATAAGGAGAGAAGTTAAGTGAAAGATAGGGGAAAGTGAAGCTGGAAGAGGTGACTAGAATTCTAAGGGGAACTCATGGAGTATGTTTGAACAGGCACATCAAATCAAATGCCACAGATACTTTTCCTACCTTTTCCTTGCAGGGCATTACTTCATGCTATAAAAAGACCATTATACAGACTTTGCATGGATTGGTGAAAATCAATCTCTGTTTCTATCAACTCCTAATAGGAAATGCAATAAATGTTTAAAGAATATTCTGCATTCAAAGTCAATTCACAGTGGAGAGACTACACAAAGTTAGATCTAGATCATAAGTCCTTATCTTTCCTTGCATTTTTATTTATACTGCACAACAAAAGAGACT